TTTAATTTATTTTCATAATTAATGTTTCGCACTTGTTGTGTAGGTCGTAGGTTATAAGTTCAGTCAGGTTTATAATTAAGTTACGTTGACATCGATCGTGTGATTGATATTTTGGTGCAGACCATTTCATCCATAGGGAAAGCCTGTGCCCAAGCAGTTGGGACATTAATAGGCTGATGATGATGATGATGAAGAAGGAATAAACAGTGCAAAATGCTTGACGAAACAAAAATATTTTCGGTAAAAACTTCGATATCGAAACATTCCATAAGTAGGTAGTGAACAAGAAATGGGAATAGTGCAGCAAAAATAAAATTTCTCAGCATTTAATTTTCAAACGCTATTAAATTTATTTGAAAAAAAATATGGCTATTTCGGAGAACTGGAAGATATATAATACTCTCCGCGAAAACGTAACAAGTGACAGACACATTGTATTCTACATGTAAAAATATCAGGGATGTAGGAATACAGAATACCTACACATTATTTTTTTGGTAATACAAGATAGAATAATTACTAGGTGCTTTTACATAAATGATGGTATACTTGACAAGTGAGCCAATAGGGGTGATGACCAGGGGCGGATCTTGAATTTGTGGGGCCCTGGGCTAATACTGCTTAGGGGCCCTACCTAATTACTCAACTAATTGCCATTTTGACAAGAAACTGTTTTCTGTAGTGATGTATGTAATGTAATTATGTTAAGTACAGGAAGAAAATAGGCAAACAAAATATTATATTTATTTATTAAAACATTATTTATTGCAAAATAAATTGACAGGTTATGAATGGTTATGTTATATAAATTATAAAGTAACCTATCTGCATTTTTGTGCTGCAAATTATTTTATTTGGTCATCTCACTGTCGGTCCTTTGTTAAATCGCAATTTCGAAAGAACTGATAAATGATTTATTCGATAGTTCGACATTGTTGTCCTGTATTTGTTTTCTATATACGACATCCTGGAGAAAGAACGCTCCGCTTCACAGCTAGTGATCGACATCGTTGAAAAAATCGTCTTTAAGATGGTATAGCAGTTTGGGAAAACATCAACAAGTTTCTTTTCATAAATTAGCCAAAACATTTCACTGCAAGAGGTGTAAGACTCTGTTTTAGACTGCAGTAAGTAAGATTTCAACTGAATGCACTCATTCACTAAATGTTCGTCTACGTCATTTGGATAATAATCAATAATATTACGTACACTTTCCAGATCTATGTGTTCTTGATTTTTGTCTTGCAAATCCATTAAAATTTTAAACTTGTTGCTATAGGTCTCATAGGCTTAGCTTCTATTATTTAAATCCATAATCATCTTATCCAACGCAACGTTAAGCGTCTCTCTTTTAAATTTTTCTGCGCCGTTTACTGAGACTTTATCTGTAGATTTATCTGAAAATTTTGAGTAATGCGTCTCTCAATTATGTCACTGTAGTCTGTTCCTACACTAGTACTTAATTTTTTAGCTTTCTCTTCGTATTCTTTTAGCTTCTGATCTGATTGTTGCCTTATGTTTTTCATGACACAACTAACTTATTGCCTTCACCAATGTCTAAACCAGGGCCCTGTACTTTTTTATTTCCTACATTAAATCTCTCCAAAAAAATTTTCCCAAAAAACAATCAAAATTGCAGTTTCTAGTTTCGCCAGTTAATTAAATAAATTGCGTGCCTCTTTTCGGAAATCAACTTTTTTAAGTTATGAAATCCCAAACAACGGTACTACCTTCCTTTTGCTGAACACCAATTTCGTTTACAGAGGAACTAGAGGGTTACTGGAAATCAAGATATTGCACATTTTCCTGGTTTTGCGATTTTTTGCTTCCTTCGGTTAGATTCTCTTCGCATAAAATACCTTCCTTTAAGTTGTTTAATGGATTTATAGCTATTTCATTCGCGTTCTCGACCTTTCTTTTTCTCGACCAAACTGTAATTTTCTATTTTCAGCTCCACTTTTATATTTTCTAGCAGACATATTGTATAATTATATATTTTCCTGAAAATAAACAAAGAACTGGATAGAACTTTTAATTTTAATACCTACTTTGCAACAATTCACAAATTATCATTAAATATCGAACGAGTTCGATTCATTTAGTTTTGAAAATTGAAATAAAAATAAAAAAGTCATGTTTTATAATTCTTTTTACTTACGTAGATAAACGTACGTAGGCCTTTTAAAAGCACGAAGTCTAGTTATGCTGAATACTTTCAATTTTAGTAAATTAAAAGAAAGGTCCGGTCCTTATAACCTTTAAGTTATCTATCACTTAGTAAACTAAACTTAACACATTTCTAACAATAACAAAGTTAATTCGTTAATATAGTAGACGATAGCAGAAGTGCGGAAAAATAACAAAATTGCATCGGGCGATAAGCGGAGGGAAGTCCCCAATAATAGACAGTACTCGGAATACACCGAACGATAACAAGCGACAGGGAATTCCCCGTTCCGTTTGATAGATGCGCACACGGGTTGATTGATCGCAGTGTTGCCAACTTATGATCGGATTTTTTTTAATTCTAGATAATTTTTATTATTGGCAATATCGTCTATTGGTTTCATTTCGGTTGGGGGCCCTCTGTATTCGAGGGGCCCTGGGCTGCAGCCCAAAAAGCCTTTAAGTAGATCCGCCCCTGGTGATGACGGGGTACAGTAAACGAAATTCTATTTAGTCCGTCAGTTAAATGATCAAAAAATAATGGACACGTATTTTTTCTTTGGGCAATAAACCAAAAAATGACAAAGTTATAGAGCGTCAAAGTTTGGGAGTAGGGGCTCGTGACGTCACTTTTTAGTGAATTTTCACTTAAAAGTGTGCTCAAACGTAACGTCATGCGACTTTTCAAATCAATATATCTCTGCAATATTTATATTATGTGAAAAAAGAAAAAATACGTGTCCAATACTTTTTAATAATCTACCTGATAAACGAAGAAAAAAAAATAGTCATCATCCCTATTGCATTGTTTGTTTACCTGTAATTTAACATAACATGCACAAGAGATCTTGTAACATACTACTCCAACTACCACTTCCGTTATTTATCCCAACTCATGTTTTACCGCCCTACATTCTCGGCAGAGTTGGACCTCCACTTGGGTCTATGATGGACTTCCACAAAATACTACGTTTAGTTGCAACACAGATTATAAGCACAAAAAACTAGTAACGTAAAGTCTTGTACACACCCTGCCCAACATATTGAACTTGAACTTTTTTGATGAGTATTATAGATATCATTATTTCAAACAACAACAAACTATTATTGACTTTGTTAATCATTACCGATATAATGGATTTGCCCTTATTAGTTAGTGTTTGAGTGCCAATTTTATTTACTATCCAAACGGAAGGATTTAATTGTTAATGGATTGAATATCTATTTAGTTTTTACGTAATAGGGAAGATGCAATATTTTTATTTTTGTTTTCATTTTAAAGAATTCCATGTAGAATAAACCACAGATATATTAAAAAATTAAAACATTGTGATTTATCGGAAAAAATGCGGTTTTAAATAGACAATTTAAATTTTCGCGCGAAAACGAATCTATGGTTGCGATGACGTCACTTCTGTCTGTCACTGGTCGTAATTGTTCGTTGCTGGCTTTAAATTTTCATACTTTTGCATATTTTTTCGACTTTCGAAATTTTTTTTTTTAAATTTAAAATGGACTATCCATCAACATCATGTGATCATAACAATACCACTAATATTCCGAAAAAAAGCCGTGTTGACTCATGTTTTGTGCCAATCTACTTCAACAAAGTTCCCAAATAAATTGTTTTTGACTGGAACCTCTGACCCAAAACTGAAAAAAAGTGGTTTCAAGCTGCGAAGAGAAATGACAATTATTCTCCAAAGACCATTATTCGATGCTGAGTAGATCACTTTGACGTTAGTCGGCGAATATACTTGTTATATGCTTAATTAATCTGCTTGTACGTAAAAACGCATTAGTAACCTACCTAATACTTACAAAACCTGTCTATAACATATTTTTAATTTTACAGTTGGAGAATGACGTCGAAAATTAGATAAAGTTTAAAATGTGTGGCACAATCTTCACATTGGCAGGACTGAACCAAGCTTTGCGTTTCATTTAAAATAACTGTAACACGATAACCTTCTTTACGTACTTTATGCTCCGGAGAACTCGACCTTTTACTGTACATAATTTTCCATCTCTTTTAATTTGGACATAGCCGATTGCATTATCGCCGTAAGATTTGCAGAAGCCGCTGAATAAGATACGAAGTTTAACAACTACATACCGTAGTAATTTAGTCCCTTTCATTTCTACACTTAAAAACTCTGCACTTTGGACAAAAAAAGTTAAAACCATGTCAACGCTAACTCTTGGTAAATTCCTGGAGTCTACTTTGATAAACGCAACTTCATTTCCATTTTTATTAAATGTAAAAAAACGCAATAAATATTCCCATAAAATAATATTTACTTTAACAACCATAACCTCAAAGAAGTTGTCATAACAGGAGTGACGTCACTAAACGCTGATTGGTGTTTTAAAATACGTTCCGTTTCAAGTATTTTTAATTCGTAATAATTGTTAAAAAACAACATTATGTAAAATAAAAACGTTGTAGTGGCATTTATTTTATATTTTTTTTACATTTTAATCATAAAATTTTCATAAATATTTTATATGCATCTTCCCTATTAGAACTATATTCATTGCCTTTGCAGTGACGAGATTATAAACTTTATTTTTACTGTGAGAATGCGTACCGTCATTTAGAATCACAATTATAAGGTAGGTGCGTCCTGTAAGGCCCAAGTTTTGGCATTATTGATAATAAAAAAGGTAAATTTTATAAATCAAAAAACCCGACTGCTTAATTAAACTTCAAATAAAAACTTAAAAGAAAAAAAAACCGGTCCAGTAGTCTATAATTCTGTTAATAAGGAACAAAGCTACTTTAACAGTCGGAACCCATTATTGAAATATATTATGTATTCTTGAATATCTAATGGGTCCCGACTGTTAAAATAGCTTTGTTCCTTATTAACAGAATTATAGACTACTGCACTTGAATTTTTCTTTTAAGTTTTTATTTGAAGTTTAATTAAGCAGTCGGGTTTTTTGATTTATAAAATTTACCTTTTTTTATTTCACACTTTTTAGTTAGTATTTTTTTCTTTTTCGCCTAGGTTTTATCTACGTATATAAACACCTAAATTTAATTTCTTCTCTTAGTATTCCCGCAGTCTACTCCTACATAATCGTAGTTCACCGCGCTATCACTTTGTCATCGTTGTAACTTTTTAAATATGTGTCGAAATGGCATAGTGTAAAAGGCAAAGTTTATCGTCTTTAAATATCAAAAGCGATATTTGTTTTGATAAAAAATAATTTGTTAATTCAAAATGTGCATTTTGGAAATAAATATCAAATAATATTTTAGTTTTGATTCGCTATTTTAGTGTAATGGCTTACACATTAAAAATAGATATATGGTGACACGGACTTTTTTGTAGAACTATTTAAGAGATACATTTTCACTCTACGTTACATTCATATAACTTTCATTGTTTTTGCAGTGCAGGCCAAAATGTCTCGCAGATGGGAGATTTTTTCCGTCTCATGTGACACTTATTGTTATATTTTGGCCAATTCACTCGAGAACTACATAAATTATTATATATATATAAATTATAATCATATATGAGCCATATTACTGTTAAGTTTCATTAAAATCCATTCAGTATTTTTTAGGTGAAAGGGTAACAAAGATCCATACAAACGTAAGATTGAAATTAAAAGCGCAAGTGGTTAATATACAACTTTAAAGAGTTGTAGATCCTAAACAATCTTATAAAATGAAAAATAGTGTAAGGAACCTAAACATGATTTTCGATTATCTAGACAATAATACCCCACTCGACATATTTTGATAACTTATTTTTTTTGCTTCGTCACAATATGGCGCCTTATTATCCCCATATTGAATTTTGATTACTTTCATATATTTAGTAGCACTCGCATGACTGAAACGAATCGATTGATGTATGAATCATCAAAATCGGTCCAGTCGTTAGGTCTCTAGTGTGCCACAAAGGAACATACATACATATATAGACTGTTAAACACTATACCCTGTCTGCGCGTCGCGCTTCGCGCTCTTGCATTGCGCAGTCGGTTAAAAAAGAACTACTTACTACTGAATGAAAATGGATAAATAATACAAACAACCTTAGCTTCTCAGAAGAGCCCTCGAATCTACGTTACTTTGTATAAAAAACAAACACATATTGCATTTTTGAAGAATAACTCCAATAAAGTGAACATGAAGATATGAATCGCAAGCCACTTGCAACGTTGTCATCAACCACTGCAATGATGGTGTATCCCTTACTTTGATATGAATTTGCAGTTTTGTATATGAAACTTTCCGAACATGGGGGCCAAATGTAAAGTTAATGAAACTAATAGAAGTATGAAATTTTGAAAATGAGACATCTTGGGCGCAGCTTAAGAATTAAATTATCTTTTTCATTTTTTAAACAATTGACTCCACGTTTTATGTCATCATCATTATCTTGATCAGATTAATTTTCATTATCGTCAACTAACGTAATGAGGCGTGCCGTCATTCATCATGAGGGGTTATTAATTGACACTTTGCTTGCTGCTTTTCTGGTAGACCTTTGATGGCATATACATTGCGCTATATTGTAATAAATTTTATCTGGTTATTTGTGATTTAACTTTAATTTGTTAATTCATACAATCGACCTTTAATAAAAATAATATTACTTATTAATATAAGATATGAAGATAATTAATTTCGTGAGGACTTATTAACCTATTTGTAAACGAATAAAAAAAACACATAAACACATATTAAACATTGGTATTAAAACAATGCATTATTGTGCGAAATCTTTATTTCACAGAGTCACGTTAAAAATAACTAACAAAAAATGTACAAAACGTAAAAAATATATGGCAGTGAGCTTCAAAAACAAGCAACAATAGAAGCATACACTAGATGCATCGCTCCTGTTATGGCAACAACCCTACATGACCTACATTCAATTGTTTACAATGATTCCTCCGAATCTCATATCGTCTCTATTGGTAAAGCCGTACCAAGTGCTCGAGTGTTCGCGTCCGTCGGCAGTGTTTTTCGTCAGTGTTTTGGTGTGTAGGAATCACGATTTACTGGGCCTTTGGGATGGAGTCGCCTTCAGCGTGGAAGCCGGTCTCGTCGGCGAAGTAGGTGATGGTTTCCTGCTTGCCCTCGGGGTTGGTGTAGGTGTAGGAACCGCGGACGACGACGACGTCATGGGGCTTGTTCTCCTCGTCGAGGGCTTGCTTCACTTCTCCGTTCTCATTGCGAATAATACCGTTGTCAGTCTCGAAGCTATAAATTGAATGAAAGCATATTTCTTTTAGTCACTAAGAAAAATATAACAAGTATCTGTGTTAAACCAGAATCTAAAGTCATTAAACTGATTGGTATAAAAACCTCTTAAAAATATTTATAAGAAATCTGAAAAAATAACCGACACTTATGTAAGTTTTACTTCCCATCATCCCGCATACGACCTATAATCTTTTAAAGAAAGGATTTACTTTGAGTGATCTAAAAGCGATTGCAAAGTTTTGTTGGGAGAGCAGAAACTATTCAATTTATGTTGTTAGGCAGTATTAAAGACCGATGATAAAGATGCTTATAAAAGACTATGAAGAAACATATAGTTACCTGTAAACGTATGCACCATCGGGCTGCTGGTCGAATTCGCTGCGCAGGATCTTCGCGGGCTCCTGTTCCACGGGGAGGGCGGCGGCGACGGCCACGAAAAGAGCGATAGCTACAATCTGCACAAAACAACAACTCATTATCATTAACCATTAAAGCTAACACCATTCATTCACAATCTAACCAATTACAAATATAAACCAAAAACTATTTTTCTACTAATGGATTATCCTAATTCAAATTAGGTAGTTGAATCCTATGAAAAATTTGATAGAGCAACGTACCAGTTTCATTTTGAATGTTTTGGTATGTTTCGGTTGCTACCAGATAAGCGACTGATGTCTAAGCGCTCACGTCAAAATCTTTTATACATTTCTCCAACGATCTATCGTAATGTCAGGTGAGAACAAATATAAGATGTCGATATTCCGGCTCCCCGGATTCGGTCATCGCTGACCACATGCGCACGCGTGTTTGCACGTCTCATAGTGTGTCCGTCATCGTCCATGTGTGCGTGTACGTACCTAGGCAGTTACTGGGAACCATCCGAAGGTTTTACTCACAACTATTTGTTTAATAATTTGTCACAAAACTTGTAATGTCACGTCTGCCTTGTTGAGCAACCGTGTCATTGGGGAGACCGCGTCTTGAACACCACCGCATCGCTAGCCTTTATCAAATAACACATCATTTACATGAACTTAATCACACCCATTAATATCATTATTGTTTAATGATTTCCAAAGAATTATAAATATACTAGGTAACTATTTAGAAATAGATAACCTTACTGGTTATCTAGAATAAATTTCAAACGTTTATTCTAAACCCTACGGCCTACATCTCAAATTGACAACATATGCACTAATTTCAGCAAAATATTTTGATATTTAATTGAGTAACCTGGGATAAAACCGATAACATTATTTTATTAAACATAGATAGGTACTTATTTGTTAGCCATACAGACACAATTACGATATATTTAGGGGTCAGTAATAGATGCAAGAAACTCTGAAACATTCGTTTGTCCGCTCTAACGGATTAAACTTTAAAGATTCCAGTTAAAAATCTGCCTCCAGTAGGGAATAAGGTAATCATGATCTTTCAAATCACACCGCAGATTCCGCGGTGAGAAGTGAGTTTGTTATTACAACAGATTAGATAGCACTGCTGGACGGCTTCCCTCACTTCTCTAGAAAAAATCTCTAGCTACGCCAATGACCGCAGGCGCGGCCAGCGCGCGCCTTTTCACATAAGTACTTGTTTACTGATGCAGTTTCATGTTGACTACACTTTTTCAAGTTCATTACCTATGTAAACTAAAATAAATAATGAATATAATATTTAACGGGTTAAAACTTGCACTAAATGATTTCGTATCTTCCTTATCCCGACGTTTCGATTAAGCAAGTTACAGGTCGTGATCACGGGGCGACTCATTAACTTTCGCTTGTCGTCGTTTTGCCTAAGATCAAAGTGTAGTATTACGTATGTATAATTCTGTACTTACTACTTTTTTTTAATTATTAGTAAGCTTCTATGTTTATCTATCGGTGGATATAGCAGTAGCTACAGAGCCCATTATTTATATAAACCAACTCACTATTTACTAAATTAACGAGATCGTCTTAAAAGATACCAATATAACGTTTTGAATAACAAATCAGACTCAACTCTGAACTTTATGTAAGTATACAACTATGATAAATATAAATATTTCCGTCTGTATGTTCAGAATATAATATAAAAAAATATGAGCCGTCACGGGACGCCTGGCAGATGTGAAACATCGACATTAATTTGTAAAAGTAACATGCAGAAAAGAACAGATTGCGATAGGAAGTAAATATGGCATAATGATAAAATATTACGATTTTTTTCAGAAAATGATGACTGTTTATTTAATAAACATTTATTTTTATTTTCATTGAATACAAAAATCGATTGCGCATGGCGACGCGTCGCCATACCGTTCACACTACTGCATATAGACTGTATATATATACCTTCATATAGCATGGCGACGCGTCGCCACGGCATGAGTCACCACTGCATGAGTCGCCACGTCATGAGTCACCACGCCATGAGTCGCCACGCCATGAGTCGCCACGCCATGAGTCGCCACGCCAGAAATTTACGTGCGCCTATAGATGTTTCAATCAAAATCAAAAATGACTAAGTATGACGTATAAAAGTAACGCATATATAACGTTATTAGTAAGAGGTTTCGTTCGGAACGGAAATTTGTAAGAAAAATGTGAAAAATTAACTTCGAACAACAATTCTATAGATAACGGGTTGCACACAAAATCAAAGCTTAAAATTGTCCGTAAATTATACAGCTACATTCGAATCCCAATGAACAAAGATAAATGTTTTAAAACAGTTTAATTTGAATCTAATAATAACTATCTCACAAACGAATAAGGTCACAAGTAACAAAATATTATTTCGCACATACGACCTTTTATCTTATGAAACGAACTCTTTTTCCTTTTAATAAATGATATCTAATACTTGGAAAAAACGATAAAGATGAAAAAAGGAAAATGTCAAATCAACCTTATGACCCACAAAATAAAATATTTTTACCAGTCATTGGCCAGCGAGTTACTCGTTTAGTATTACCGAACTAATTTAAAATAAGATCTCACGCTTCAGGTGAGTTTACATTTACCGAGACGGATTTTATGACGACGACGACGACGACGACGACGACGACGACGACGACGACGACGTAGCCGAAGGGTAACTAAATCAAATGCACTATTAGATATTATACTAAACAACTGTTTAACTCTGAATGGGTTAAAACGCTTCCATTAAGTTAAGTTCCGCAATAAATAAAAATATAATTAACCCGGATCAATCCAGCAGTAAATCCTAAACAGCATTACTGCACCTAAATGATAAGGTCACAATTTTTGTGGGTTCGAATCCCGCGCTTACAAAAATTTTTGTGTGACGAAATATGACAATTTCACATCAGCAATTGTTTTCATAATCTTCTGTGAATGACCTTAGGAAAGGTGTTCAGATAAGTTCAAAAATGCATTATTTTTAAAATAAATAGGCATAAAAATTATACGCATAAAGTATTTCTAAACAATAATATAAGCAAATAGCATTAGTCTTAATATAGCTTCAATATTTTATCAGAAACGACAAGCATTTCCAGGTTGAAAAGTTCAAGCTATAAATCAACCACTTCGTTACTAAAATGAATGGTAAAAAAACAGCACACGTGTGTAATCTCCGTTTACCTTTACCTAGCAATTTTAAAAGGTCAAAGAATAAAAATATTACTTAACAACACACTAGACGCGTTACTGAATTCTATAAGTAATAAGAAAAGGTCAAGCACAAGTACATTAATATCAAATGGTTCTTTAATTAGGAAATATTAAAACATAATTTAATGAGGACATAAATAATAATCAAAAATATCACGGTCTTTAAGTATTTATCAACATTTTAAATACTTATTCAATTATCATAATCTCTATGTTACATAGGTTTTTAAACCAATTTTTAATATATTTTGAATAAAAGATACGCAAATAACAAATTGACTGTAGTGGGTGTCTTAACTTCATTGACTACATACTATGAAATAAAATTTAATAACTTATTGAGCGAAGTAAGGTTAATGTCGTAACACATGTAAGTACATATAACACATGGGACTAAAAGTCCAAATTCCAAAAAAACAATATAATTCAATTAATGACCCTGATAAGTACTCAAACACAAAGTTCTAATGAAAGAAGATCCAAAAGAATTTATGTATGTAGTTTCTGTACGTTTAACTTCTATAAAAGAAGAAACTCACTGACTGACTGACATATCAACTCACAGCCCAAACCGCTAGGTCTAGAGACTCCAAATTTGGCACGTAGGTTCCTCATGATGTCTAGGGGTGCACTAAGAAAGGTTTTTTTCAAAATTCACATCAGAAGAATTTAAAATAGAGGATGAAAGTTTGTAAGAAAAATCTTATAAGGAATAAGATTTTCATAGAAACTTTCATCCTCTATTTTAACCTCTTCTGAGAATAGACTTTAACTGGGCACGAATATTTACCTAAATAAATTATAAAGCTTGTCATTTTTAGTTTTCCTAAAATACCCCCTAAGAGGGGATTGGGTGTGTCTAAATTTTATATGTGGATTAATTTTAACGCGCTTTTCGATTAACTCGAAATTTGGTATTTTTACTAAAGACTAGAAATAAAGAATAACATGTATCAGGGTTTTTCAAAAATCTACCCCAAAGAAGGTAAAAAGAGGATGAAAGTTTTTATAAAAAATCTTATTCTTCGAGTTAATAGAATTAAAACTTTGGTATGAATATTTTTCTAAATAAATAATAAAGTTTGCCATTTTTAGTTTGCCTTAACAACCCCTAATGAAGTGTCAATCAGCACATATAATACGCGGCCTTTTTACTATCATGTTGGTGTTTTGCCAAGTGTCTGATCCATCAAGTCTGTGGGATGCATTTAAAGAATATACACACATCAAAAGTGTCTAGGGATCAAGCATTTTTATGCGGATTTCTTGAGATTGAGATGTGGCTTTGTAATAAATTTATGATTTTATAAATTTATATGGATCCTTTTTGGTGCATTTCATAATTTGAATCAGGAACTGTGAATCAAATTCGAGTAAAAGATGAAAATCAGCTGTCAATATTTTCCCTATAAAAACATACAACGCATTGAAGACATTATTAGTGCTACTGTTTCCCTACTACTGATTAAAACCAACGTTATTATGGAGCGGCGACGTCATTTAAGCAGGGAAGAAATGCTCAGAGCCGTGGGAATGATAGAAGCTGGTTCCCGGCAACGTACTGTCGCTTTAGCTCTGAATACAAGTCAGAGTGTTATCAGTCGACTTTGGACACGATACCGAAGCACTGGTACCGTGGCTGAGCGCCATGGAGGACGGTATCGCTGCACCACACGGAGACAAGACCGATACATTCAAATCTTAACTCGAAGAGCTCCAACAATAACCGCCATGATGTTAGCCGTGAGGCTTCATCACTCTTCAGGGAACTTAATTAGCGACCAAACAGTCAGAAACCGCTTGCATGAAGTGAACCTTCATTCCCGAAGACCGCTACGGGTACCACCTATAGCAATGCACAATCGTAGGATTCGATATCAATGGGCTCTTGAACACAGAAATTGGGCAGAAGAACAATGGCGTTTCGTGTGCTTTTCTGATGAGTCTCGTTTTGGTATGAGACCGGATACAAGACGTATACGACACTGGAGAACCCCTGGACGCCAACAGCGATTAAAATCCTGCCAGGAAGTCCATCCTTATAGTGGTGGAACCATCATGGTATGGGCGGGTATTTGGATCGGCGGAAGAACTGAGTTGATTTGGATCAGAGGCAACCTCAACGCTCAAATTTATGCTGAGACGATTGTATCAGACGTCATCGTTCCTCTACAAGTGCAAATCGGTCCCTTATTTCAGTTAATGCATGATAATGCACGACCGCACACCGCAAGAGTTGTAAGACAGACTCTCGCCGCAGCTAACATCAATGTCCTGCCCTGGCCTGCTCAGTCGCCAGACTTGAACCCGATTGAGCATGCATGGGATATGCTACAGAGAAGAGCTCTGCCGAATATGGAGGGTATCCAGTCGCAAGAAGACCTTTTTTTGTTGTTGCAACGAACATGGGCGGCCATTCCACAGCGTGATTTGGATGAACTCATTTTGAGTATGCCAAACCGATGTTCTTGTGTTGTTAGTGTTCGCGGTAGAAATACGGATTATTAATTGTTTAAGTTACCCAATAAAATTTTAGAGAAAACTGTTATTTCAGTCTTTTTTTCGAACTTTTGTGTTAGTGGTTCAAATGTCAAAAATCCCTTTATTAGGAAAATGGCAAATTTCTTTATTAATGCAAAGGTGACTTGGTTTATCGTTACTGTGACAAACGAAAACACTTTATTTGATGAATCCTTAAAGAAAATTTTAATTAATATCAATCAGGAGAAAAGTTATTGCAAAAATATATGTTGATCCCTAGACACTTTTGATGTGTGTATTTCAGAAGATTTTAAACGATAAATCGAAATACAGGTAGAAGGTGATAAAATGACCCAGAAATTTACACGTTATTTATGTTATCAATATAAAACCACTAACTTTTAATATTTTGAATAGTAAGCAGATTGATAAAAATGTAGATTTGGTAAAAAATTGTTACCTGAATCACTAAGTCCACGCGGACGAAGTCGCGGGTAAACGCCAGTTTAGCATATAAATACATATCACGTAGCTATACTGTGTTACCAGAATAAACTTAGCTCTACCTAGGTCTGGATATTCGGTAACTGATTCAAAGCTTTGCACTAACCTTGAGACTATAGTGCCTTTGATTAGAGTGTAGCCTTTGTCAAAAGAGCGTCTATGGTTGTTAGCACAAACTATTATCAAGAAACAGAATATTTTTTTCTGTGCTATGTAGGTACCCTAAAAATGATGATTCGATAGACGAAACTTGTATGTCCCCAATCATTATGCAGACACAAATAAAAGTGATGTGCTCTTAACCTTTTCAAAGGTCGGGACCACGTATTTTGTGAAAATACAATTCAAGGTCAACCTGTTTTGCCTATGTTTAATTAAGCCAATGCTTAAGCAGTATTTCGCGTCTATATTTTTATGTAAATGATACAGGAATATTTAATGTTTTATATATGAAGTAGGTATAAACAGTTACCTACTTATGTATGGAGTATCTTTGTAAAAACATAATTAAATAACAGGATTCGTGAATATTTTTAGTATTTAATATTTGTTTATGCATCATTATCGATAGTTTTTATTATGTTTAAATAAAACATGAGTAAACCGACTTCATTTTTATTATTACCGCAATATACGAAATATTATTCAGGGCGATTTTTTGTGTAAAAACCTTTTTTATATATTTTTTTAAATCAATAAAAACAAAACAGCTTAAATAATGTAAAATAATTTAAATGCTTTAAAGATTTAAAGCTCATTGACTGACTCAAAACATTACTTTTACGTTAATATTTCATTGAATGAAAACATTTAAAAAAATAATTATATGTCAGAATCTGTTGTTTTAACTG